TCTTGTCCCGCTTCTAGGAGAGGGGCATCCTGAATGGTGGGACCAGATTGAGTTGAAGAAATCTTACCCTCTCGAAGGGACTTGTAACGGTCCTGCATCGGGAAAACAAAGTTTCCATCGGGCCTCGTGATTTTGAAAACACGATGCAACTTCACAACATCATCAAAGTCCGTTTCATTCAGCTCTTTCAACGATGCAACAAGGTAATCACCTCTCCATAGAAAGCCGGGGTGGATAACATATCCCACAAATACTCCCGGATTGGACGTGGGATCAAACTTCAAGTCCTTCTTCGGTTTCTGTCTTGGGCCAATCCAGTAGTCTATGCGACATCCGAACGGCAAGAACTGACCTTTGAACTCTTCTTCGAACCTAAGATTCCAAGGTGTTCTGGAACCAGAAGGTGGTTCACAAACATTCTGAGATAAACACCAATGCCTTGAGGCGTGCGGCCAGTATGAATGATTCAATCCGGCCTGTGCAAGTGCGACTCGAGTTCCCTCGAGCACGGTTCTGATGCTTCGTTCGGCCACCGCGTTCGATTTGTGAATGTATTCTTGACTGAGGACATGTCTCCAGCCCATCTCTTCAGCTGCAGCAATTAGCTCAGGGGCATTGTCGCTATAAAACGTGCCAACCTCGTCTGACGAGGAAGTGAAATGCTGAAACGCCTTCACAGTGGCTTCCGTGTTTCTTTTAGCAAAAGGGTATGCATATTTGAAACCGGTGGCAACGTCACTTATGACAAGAGCAGAGTACTCATCGTCTATGCCTAGTTCCTGTTCGTCTGCAGTGATTATGAAATCGGCTGTGATGTGCTCAGCAAACTTTCGAGCATCAACTTGTCTGGATCCCCCCCGCGAGCGAGAGGGAGACTTGGTCATCTTGGCGCATTTGCACACTTCGCAGAATGGATTCTTTGGCTGGTGTGTCATCAGGTGCTTCCGTGATGCTGCTTCCTGCCTTAGGGCACTTTCTGCAAGTGATCTAGGGCTCTTCTTATCGGGATTGCCAACAACATCTTCCCCTGCCAAATCTTTACTCTCTATCGGCTCAGCATGTTCATTTGGTTTGACTTCGATGGGGTCATCCGCCAGAAGCTCAGCGACAACTCTAGCATGCACCTCAGGGTCCTCTAGAGGGGCAATGCTAGGCGTGTACTCCTCTCCCGCTGCATCTTCAGCTTGCTCGGAGGAGGAGTATGACGATTCACTCGATGCGCTGCTTCTGCCGACCTGACCTTCCGGTCGGCTTGGCGGCGTGCCTTTGGCGGGACATGCCATGGCTGAGTCGCCATCCCACACGTCGTAGTACGGGACATAATCTCGAACTTTGAGATATATTCTCGTCCCATCAGGCTTGACAAAGAATGGCTTGTCCTTCACGTACCATATGAAGTCATAACCCTGATTCATGCATTTCAAACCTACAGAGAGAACAGATGGTGTTTGTGGCAACAAGTATGGATCCGTGTTCCCGAGGTCACCTGCGGCCATGTTGGCCTGCTTTGACGAATCACTTGGTCCATTGGCAGTCATCAACATCACGGGGTCATTTGAATTATAGATTGCATATTCGGGGCAATTCGCACGGGTAAAAAGGTCTGTTCCACTCCCAGTGTCGATAATCCATGAACAGTTCGGAGAGAACCTCTTGCTCGCCAGCGCGGGCTTTGCGCCCATGTCTCTCGGGGCGCAGTGATTGCATCCGATATCGCTGTCACATTCGTATTTGCATCTAGTCGGATGGCCTTCCAATTCACGTCTCACAATGAAGGCGAGCATGGTTGCTCCGAGCCTAGCATCATCTATGCTGATCATCATGGAAAAACTGATGGTCGATTGGGTAGACCTTTGAATACACGCGCGGTTTGTCCGCGATCTTAAACTGCTCACCATGTGCTGGTATCCGATTCATTTCAACCTTCGAGCTGAAACGCACGCTCGGGAGGGCAGGCACATGCTTCCAGTCCGACATGAGGTTCCCCTCAGCGATAGGGGCGTTCATCATGGAAGACAGCAAGCATCCCAACACACAAACAGCAGCAGGAGAAGGCTTTCCGGAAGACTTTCCCTTGTGACCCTTCTTCTTTTCTCCCTTCGAATCACGGGAAGTGGATCGAGAGGTCGACTTGGAACGATCCCTGCTCGATTTGCGATGCTTCCGATCCTTTCCCTGCTTCTTATGCTTGTCTGCGGATGGCTCCCTTGACCCTGGAACGGCCGGCTTCGGGTCGATGTGAGCAAACGGGCAGTTTTCACCACGGTCACACCTCCCCTTGGGGTAGAAACGGCACTCTTTCTTCCCCTTTGGGCTATTCGTTCGGCCTTTACCCTTACCCTTCTTAGGCTTAGCGTCCCTTGATGGGGTCCTACCCCTGGCATCGCCCGATGGCTGTTCATGCTTGTACGTGCAATTGTCCCGCCGACACGACCCATACTTGACAAATGCAATGCAAAATCCCTTAGGCACACGTTGGCTCTCAGCGGCGGGTGCGGCTGGCCTACCCCCGTTCTGCCTAGCAACCCGTTCTCGGTTGCGCTCGAGTCTGGCTCGAGACAGGTATTGCCTCACAGATTCAATCAAGTAGGTGTATGAGTGATCGGCGGACTCTTCCGAGGCGCTCAAATAGACATTCAAATGGTGTTGCATTTGCTTACTTTTCTTCAGCTGGTTGTAGAACAGGGCCTCAAGCATGGAGTCATCCGGTGTCTTGGCATTCATCCCTGCAAGGACACCCTCCCAGCTACGCATGAAGGAAGTGAGGTTATCGTTCACGAGCCTCACGTTGAGGAGATCCTCCATGGCATAGGTGGCTCCGTGCTTGATGTTCGTGCTCAGGTGCTCGTGCACCATGAGAAGCACTTGTCTCCCACGAACTGGATTCCTCTTCTGCGCCTCTACCTCCTTGAAGGTGTCGACTTGTCTCGCCAGGTCACCCTGAATGATGTTGGTGAGGGCGGACAGCAACTTGGCGTCCAAGGTGAGGAAAGTACCTGGTTCTTTGAGCTCCTCGATCGTAACGGCGGGCTCCCACACTCTGCTGATCCATGTAAAAGCGTCATCGGGGCGATCGGACGCCGCGCACACGGCTTCCCGAACCTTGATGCGCCAATTCCTGTAACTCTCAGGAAGTGGGAAGGAGGGAATGATAATCCTTTCCGCCTCCTTGACCTTGGGCTTGTCATGGTCTGCGTCCACGGCGCTCGCCTGCTTACCCAAGATCTTGTTGAGCTTCTTGCGGATCACTCGCGCTTTCTCCGATGATGATGATGAGGATGATGATGTTGAGGAGCTGGACGATGAAGAGCTCGGAGAGTCGGAAGGAGACCCACTCTTTCGCTTCTTGTGGCTCTTCTTCTTCTTCTTCTTGTCCTTCTTGCTCTTCTTCTTTTTGTCCTTCTTCTTCTTCTTCTTGTCCTTCTTGCTCTTCTTCCCATCGTCATTCCCGTCGTCATCGTCGTCATCATGATCATCATCATCGTCGGGATCGCCGGCAGGTGGTTCCCCACCGCCTCCGCTCTGGCCTTTACCTGCGCCTGATGGATTTCCACCACCATCGTTTGGGTCCTGTGCCGGAGATGTTCGTTCGTATTCCTCGGCATCCCCGTCAAGATCATCGGCGGCACCTGGCCCATCACGGCGGAGTTCGGTAGAAGCTGACCTGATACGTACCTTAGAACTAAGATCCAGGCCGGGAGGAGGAAACGTCTGTACAGGAGGGGTTTGGTCTCAGACCGAAAATCGGAACATTAGAAGAACTACTCTGCTCACTGCGAGATTTCAGTTCATGACGTAGTGCCTCAATGTCCCTCGACTGCTTCATGATAATCTCCCTCATTTCAGCAGCGCTCCTGTCCGCGTCCTCCTTCTGCTTGTTGTGGGTGACTTCCCAAATCAATTTGAGCTGTTCATACTTCTTCTCAGCTTCTAAGCGTTGAGCAACCCACTGCTGCCTTGCCTCGTTGAACTCTCTTTCCTTTGCCATTGCCTCTTGTTGGCATACATTGATGTGGTTCACCGCGTCCTGATAGAGTCGGCCTTTTTCCTCAACATGGCCGGCTTGGAGCTGATTGATGATGGCGTCGTGGCGTGCCGAAGCATAGGCAGCCACTTCCTCAGTACTCGGACCTGTGTTGACCACATTCACCGTCTGGCTATGTTGATATATGTTCGGGGCGCTCACATGATGTTGATGAAGGTGAGTCTCATTCTTAGTCATGTGCGCGTGCATCTCTTGCCTAGGTTGATGTCCGGCGAGAGGTTCCCCTCCGCTTCCCATTGAATCCTCCGGAAGGACAACCGAAGTGATGGGCACAAGCGCGTCGCCTTGGTCGGACTCAGGAAAACTGCTTCGGGAGCGCTGTGACGGATTGCATGGCGGTTTCCCTTGCGGATGCCCACCCTTGATCAATTCGTTGGCCACTGCTTCGTTCATCCTTGCTATGGCAGGGTGGCATCCGTCGCCGCTTGACGCCATTGCGGCGCGGGTGAGAGCTGACTGTACAAGGTACCAGCGATACGGCTGATAACCTGTTGAAAGGTGGAATCTACCTAAATGTCAGCACGGGCGGCAGTCAATTTTTCTTGAGCCAGTATCATGTCGGAATGCCACTACCTATCAACACCTTCCAAAGGCAAGGCAGGGCAACATGTGCAAAGCGCACCAGGCAGCCGATGTTTCTCCAAGCCACGTGGTTGTGGTGATAACAAAACTTGGTGCTGACTTGGTGTAAACCGTTCACGTCATACCGACTTGTCGTAGATGCTTGCAGGGCGGTTGGCAACGCACCCCTTCCACAATGCAGCCAGGACCCTTAATCTGAAGCCGCTGCGTCTGCCAAACAGGTGCCAAACCCCCAAAGCACCGAACATCGGTTGGCGTGGTGCTTTTTGTTGCGGTAGCCACGTGGCTCGAGACCAGCTGATGATACCCTGCCAACCCTCATCTCATCGTGTGTGACACCCTGCCAACCTCCCTGCCCGGCCGGCCAAGCTGCTCCGGAGATTTGCCTTAGCAGTAGCCCAGGGGATCTCCCCAAAGTTGCTGTGGCAACCAACGCTGTTTTTGACACCGCAACGCTGCTTGAAAGGTTTACACTCCCTCAGGCTAGTCCCTCTCTGCTGCCTAGCAAAGGGCCGCATGCTGGGGATCTGCTGAAACAAAGAAACTAGGACAGGGTCACTCAAGCTGAAAGCCCGTGCAACTGTGAGCCCATCTTCCAAATCGATTTATCTGCGTTTGTTTTTCGCTTCCCCGAAACATGTCCGCCTCGGCTCATAGGGGTGTCTTTTCTTTGCGAGCACCATGGTTGACTGGTTTCTAAAACAAAAGAGGGAAAACCGCTTGGCCACGTTGTGGGTGCAACCCAAAAAGGAAAGACGAGCCACCACAATTCAAGACACCCATCTGCAAATTCAGCCAAAGGGATCCCCAAATAAAGGACCTTTCGCATGGCTTTCACCCGTGAGAGCTCCCCAGCTCATCGGTTGAATCGCTCGCGTCCTACTGATGGACGAAATCCTACACTAAGAAACCCTGGTTTCTGATTCGATTCCCCTGTAAATACCAATGAATTCTTTCGTGGTGCCGAAATGGAGTTCGCAACCATCCACACTATGGGCTGAGTTCTCCTCTCAGCTTCCCAGGCTCAACGGCAAGGCTAAACCAAGCGCTGGCAAGACTGAACAAGTGTTGGTCCTTCCCAGCTCAAGCAGATCCACCCCATCCGGGGCCCCCGCGGCAGGCGCAGGCCTTCCGCCCGCGAAGCGCCGGAGGCGCCGGAAGCGCCGGAAGCGCCGGCCGTCGCGTTGCTCCCGACGCCCTGGGCCAAGGTCTCCAGCACCGCCGCGCCAGCGCCCAGCGCCTCCATGGTGGAAGGCCAATCCTGCGGGGCTGCGTTGAATCGTCCATTCATACCAAACATATATCTATATATATATATATATACACCCAGATTTTTAATGATGTGTATATATAAATATATATATATATATATATATACGTATATTTATATGTAGAGAGAGACAGAGGTATGTATAGTTCCTATATAGATACATATATATATATATACATATGGTCACGTGTTCCGTGCGTGTTGCTACCCCCCCCCCCCCCCGCAGATGGTATGGTCCCCCAGGACCCCCCCCCCCCCCGCCCAAGACCCCGAGCCCCGGATGTATTTAGGGTGTATTTAGGGTGTATTTAGGGTTAATTTAGGGTTGGTTTAGGGTTGGTTTTTGTTGATTTAGGGTTGGTTTAGGGTTGGTTTAGGTTTAGAGGTGTACGGTTTAGGGTTTGGTTTAGGGTTTGGTTTAGGGTATATTTAGGGTTGGTTTAGGGTTAGGGTGTATTTGGGGTTAGTTTAGGGTTGGTTTAGGGTTAGTTTAGGGTTGGTTTATGTTGATTTAGGGTTGGTTTAGGTTTAGAGGTCTACGGTTTAGAGTTTGGTTTAGGGTGTATTTAGGGTTGGTTTAGGGTTAGTTTAGGGTTTATGGTTGGTTGCGGGTTGGCTTGTCCTGGGTGGCGGTGCCGGGGTGTCGGGGTGCGAGTTCAGGGGGTCGGGGTGGGGGTGGGACCGTAGGTGCCAGGACCCTAAATATACCAATATACCCTAAACCAATTCTAAACCAACCCTAAACCACCACAACCGAACCACAGGCAGGGGGGAGGGGTACTTGTCTGACCCATGACCATTGGCGGGGGGGGGGGGGGACTGGCAACGCTGTACCATATATATATATATATATGTATGTTTGTATGTAGGTAGGTAGGTGTGTATGTGTGTACTTAGGTAGGTGTGTGTGTGTATGTACCTACGTGCGTACGTACGCAAGTACGTACGTACGTGCGAATGTATGTATGTACGTACGTACGCATGTATGCCTGTGTGTGTGTGTATGTACGTACGTACGTACGTACGTACGTATGTATGTATGTATGTGTGTATGTATTCATGTATGTATGTATGTATGTATGTATGTAGGTATGTATGTGTGTATGTGTGTATGTGTGTATGTGTGTATGTGTGTATGTGTGTATGTGTGTATGTGTGTATGTCCGTACGTACGTACGTACGTACGTACGTATGTATGTATGTATGTGTGTACGTATTCATGTATGTATGTATGTATGTATCGATCTATGCATGTATGTATGTATGTATGTGTGTATGTGTGTATGTGTGTATGTGTTTATGGTATGTTATGTTATGGTATGCTATGTTATGTTATGTATGTATGTATGTATCGATCTATGTATGTATGTATGTATGTGTATGTATGTATGTATGTATGTATGTATGTATGTATGTATGTATGTATGTATGTATGTGTCTGTCTGTCTGTCTGTCTGTCTGTCTGTCTGTCTGTCTGTCTGTCTGTCTGTCTGTCTGTCTGTCTGTATGTATGTATGTATGTATGTATGTATGTATGTATGTATGTATGTATGTATGTATGTATGAAGGCATGCATGCATGCATGCATGCATGCATGCATGCATGCATGCATGTATGCATGTATGCATGTATGTATGTATGTATGTATGTATGTATGTATGTATGTATGTATGTATGTATGTATGTATGTGTATGTATGCATGCATGTATGTATGTATGAATGCATGCATGCATGCATGTATGTATGTATGTATGTATGCATGTATGTACCCGTGTAGGGAGCTTATATATATATATTTATATAGACATCACTTGAAGCACCCCACAATTCAAGTAACATCTAAAGTCCTCGAAATGCTCTGCTGCGCATTTCTGAATGCATCAAAAGCCAACATGGCGCTGATAATAATATCAGCGCTTGCAATCATGTGACGAACATCTGAAATGGTGCTGAACATGGCGATTAGTTTCTCTCCCAAACCTAACCCCTAATTCCTGTTGGCTTGCTGTTTTGCCCAGTATTTTTCCGGCATATCCCTGACACCAAAAATCTGGTGGCTGAAGACGCAGGCGGTGCACCTTCCCCAGATCCTGAACCTCGACCGTAGACCCCGCTAGTAATTCCTATTTTGGCTAGTGTGTTCGTTTACGCTAGTATGTTTGTCTTCGCCAAACTTCCATCGATCACAATCCCGTGACCACATTCCATCGGAAAAAAATACAGGGCCGAGGCGAGCAAAAATCAACAGCCGGTCAAGACTAATCAAAGCACCAGGTCTTGTCCCAGGGCAACCTTTTTTCGGCACCTAGGTTTGACGCCACAGCCATAGCCAGGCGTGGCAGGCTCCTCGCTGAGGTCGCTCAAGCCTGGCCATCGAAACATCCCAGCTTTTGGACCCCCGGTGACGACTGCTTCCCTGTTCCTCAGGGACTTCTATGTCAGAATGAAACGAAATGTTGGGATTCTTGACTAACCTGCAAAGAGAAAGATTTGGAGCTTCCAATTCCAGGCAGTCTATTCCCCGACAGCTGCCTTGGGAACATGCAACGCTGGCCCAAGAGCTCGATTTGAGGCATGGAACCAAATTAGGTCATGTCAGAAAGACTGCTTGCCACCATGGAAGTGTAGGGAAGGTATTTGTAAGCCAAGAATACTGTGGATGGACAAAATCCTGCACCACCTGAAAACATGGGAAACCATTGTTTGTTGGTATGTACAGGGGAATCATCATTCCAGGGTTTCTTAGGTGGTGCAGAATTTTGTCCATCCACAGAACCAAGGACCGAACAGTCACTGCCCTACCGTCGCTTTTGACCCTACCCCACTTCGACCCCGGAAAGCATCATTGCCATATGTTGAAGCTCCCCAACTATCCACAGAGCCGTCGTCCAGGATGGCAGCAAAAGCGCTCGCTGTAGCTTGCATCTGTCGGGCCAACACCACATGCTCTCATTGGCTGCTGCTGTCACGTTGCAGCATTGCCACACACAAGCACTGCGCCTCCAAATGCAAGAACTGTGAAATGCATCGCTTGAAGCTGGCTTGGCGAGCTGCATGATAGTATCAACGCTGTCCCCGTCTTGCACGTCACACTGATCCATCTGACCTCCGAAAGCAAGCCTCACAACGCTTCGCTCCAACTGCCGTGGCCTTCAGTTCGCGGACACGGTAGCGCGAAGCGTGCTAAGCAACCCCTTCAGTCTCAGCGCGAGATCAAGAAGCCGCAAGATGTCTCAACAAGCAAGCCTCCGAATCCGCTTCTTCATTACACTCCCCCCTTCTCAAACCCACGCCTCGCAGCACCATGTCCAAGTACAGCAAGAACCGCGTCAGCGCATCCACAGAGATGCGACCACCCAGCGCCAGCAGCCCCCCAAGCGCCAGGCTCAGGGCTTGACATGCACCTCACGAAACCGCGAAACGCATCCCGCCACCGGAACGGGGCTCCGATCTCTGGATCTCAAATTTGCCTCAACCCCAGCGGGGGAGAAACGGGCCAGGGAGGAGAAACTGAAAATCCTGGCCTTTGCCCTGGTATGTTAGCTTCTGCGAGATCTTACTTGGTCTTTTCCATGTTCCCGCACGCGTCGGAAGATGTGAGGCGGAAGTAGTCCAAAGTTTTGCACAAGACATCACGGCGTCTTTGTCGCCCAGTGCGGTCCACAACAACAATCAGGCCAAAAACCCGAAACATGTGCAAATCGAAAGGGATCCTCAGATCCTCACCGCAACTCCCTAAACGAAACCCCCAAAAGCTGCTCCTTGCCCTCGATTTCGAAACACCCGTCTGAGGCTTTTTCCATCTGTTTTTCTTCGGTCGCCCGATTTCACTCGCCGCCGAGGCGCCGCTGAGCAAGGCGTTGCTCAGGCAGAAAGCGCCCAGAGCGAGGCCTGGCGCTGCGCGACGCGACGCGGCCTCCGCGGGGTCGTGGCTGGTGCGGGTACGTAGGGAATGCGGGACATGAGCGCAGGGATTTCCCTTAAAGGAAACCACCAGTTTGATGGGTTTTCAATAGGGCCATTCCATTTCTCATTCCCTGCCTATCGCACCAGCAAGTTGTTTAAGATCTAGGCAACACTCCTAGAAGTGGATGGTTGATGTCTAGAGCAGTTGTTGCCTGGTGGTTTGTTTTTGAATACGGAGCTGATGAACTAGGCAACACATCTTCGAAATGCTCTGAACCTACGCTGACTGGCCGAGCAAAAAAAGCATGATTTGTTTTCCCCCCGAATCGGTGAGCTTGCTTTATGATTAGTGCAGTTGCAATCTGCCACAAAATGGGTGCATAAATGTCCTGTAGCATACAGCACCGGACAGCTCGACATCTGCTTAGCTGGCTCGGTGTGATGACATACTGTGGATGGACGAAATCCTGCCCCACTTGGAAATCATGGAAAACCATTGTTTGTTGGTATTTACAGGGGAATCATCATTCCAGAGTTTCTTAGGTGGTGCGAAACGGATTTCGTCCATCCACAGTACAACCAAAGTTGCATAATTAACGCACATACGGCAAATGTCTTGTCATCAGACCGCCGACATCTGAGGAGAATTAGTGCCCACCCGCAGAGGAGCCTTTGCTCGGTACAGCCAGAGACGTTCGGTGGCGTGCAATTGCAACAACGAGCAGTGACAATGGCTAAGTCTGCTCGAGCTGACTTCTCTGCCACCCATTGTCATAAAATCCGGCTTGTGTTTTGAGAGAACATCAGCTTGCTTCAGGATTGCAAATCAAACGCAAGCAAGCCCAAAATAACTTTGCGTGTGGGGTATCAATGCTTTGCATGCGGCCGTTTGCAAAAACAAACCGCTTTTGCAAATTCGGTGATCATTCAAACACACAGAGAAAATCTACCAAGTGCTACCCTCCAATTACCAGGGTTTTGATGGTGACTCAGGATTCCAAGATGAGACTTGGGCGGCTTGATATGCTGGGCCCCCGGCTATTTCGCTTCTGCACATCAAGAATGATCTGCGTCTGCTCGTTAAAAAGATCCTTGTGCTTCTCCTCCCGGCCAGCTGGGCAGAACACTTCTCCCCCCAAACATTCAGAGATTCAGCATCGGAGACAAAAAGGAGGGGGAAAAGAAAAGAACAAAAAACCCCAAAAAAAAAAAAAACGGGGCCGTGGCAAAACGCTCCCGTCGGAGAGCGCCCGGCCGCGCCGCTCGCGCCGTTTTGCGCTTCTTCTCTTCGCTCCTCCGCGGCGAGCGCCCGCACCGTGTCGAGGCCCTGCAGCGTTTCCTCCGTGACGCGGCTCAGCTCCGCCACCGCGTCCTGGACCGGACCGGAGCTGGACGGGGCATACGGTGCATGGCTCACCTTTCAGCCAACCTGAAAGGGTACCCCCGAAAGCTCCAAATACCCGGCCTTTTTTCAGGGTATCATGTCGACCCTCTACCAAAAAAGGAGGTATTTGCCATGGAAAACCGATCGGTTTTCCCAAAAATACCCTGAAAAGGGCGGGTATTTTGAGTAGGGGGCATTCTCATGTACATATTTATGTGTATATATATATATGTATAAAAAAAGACTTTCTGGGCTGTTCGAAGCGGAGGCTCCGATTTTCTGAAGAATCCCTCTTCAACAGCCACTTCAAAGAAAGGGGGCCCCTTTTCCTTGTCAAGCCAAGGTAAGGATCTTGCGGATTGCCTTAGCTTTAAGCCAACCTGATGGTCAGTGTCTTGCGGCTGTTGCCTTTTCTAAATAGCTTTTGGGCAGGTGTTGGTGGTTTCTTCACTGGTGTGAGATTGATATGTGCAACATGCCTGCTAGACGGGTACACTTAGTGGCCTCATGCTGAGTCCCGCCCAAAGCACTGCAACACAACTAGTGTCGTTTGCTGTTCATTGTGAATGTAGGAGCCCCAGAACAAGGTTCGGCTTGACCCATAGGGGTCATCGTTGAGTAGTCATGTTTCTTTGACGCGGCCCACACTACTACCGTTTGTTGCCAACAAGCGCGAGATGGCAAGGATGACGGCAAGGGGTCCAGCCTGGGCCAATCTTACTCTGTAGCACACTGTTGGAGGGCATAGATCAAGCAAATACCTTTGTGGATTCACGTGATGACAAAACCATCCTGTCACCCACACGTCGCATGGCTGTGGTGAGGATATTCCCAGAGCTGGAAAGAAGTTGACTTTGAAAGGGCTCCCTTTGGCAACGCCCATAGCATCAGCGGCTAAATGGCGAAGATGAGGGACACCGTTTCGCCGAAAGCGGTAGCGCATTGAATGTATTGGAGGTTCCTCAAGCAAAACCCAACACCTAACAAACAAATCTAGCTCCAAATTGGATATGGCCATGGGTCAAAAGCCCGTACCCCCAGTGAACATCCGATTCAATCCAACCACTAAAATAGGTTCTAAAATGGGTGGTGAATTCACCTACCAACCAAAATGGGATCCCAAAACGGTTTTGACAACCACAGCCATATCTCTGCAAGCCCACCCGCGGCCCCCCGCCCCCCCCCCCCCCTGCCTGCGTTTCTGCAGTAGTGGAGCGCCGAACCTGGGCAAAAAGGTTCAGGCCGTGCCAGGCTGGTGGCGAACGAAATTGCCTGCCGCGCCTAGGCTGCGCCAGCCGAAATTTGTTGATTTTCCAAACATCCGCCAGAGAAAGCGCCTGGATTGTTTTTTTTCTCGGAGATCTTCTTGGGCGTTGCGAGTGCGTCCCTGCAACACGGCCGGAAAGGCTGTGTACGAACCCCCCACCATCTTGTAAGGATAGCTTCGTCATGCATGATTGAGGGGACGTTGTGAGAGACTACTATGGACAGGGCCATGCCCTGCTCAAATCATAAGCTATAGGTATCCATGCGTTGGGCAAATATCAAAACCTGCCCTGCATGCCCAAAAACGGGGCATGCTGTGGCATGCCTGACCTTGACAAGCCGCGCCAGGTCGTACTTGAATCGCTGCGCAGCGGTCGGCTCGGCGTAGGTTCACTTTTTCTCTTTACAACATTCTCGAAGCTGCGCGAGCCATGTGGAAGTCTATTCAGAGAGCCCGAAATACAAGTGCAAAGCCTCAACAAAACCAACCACACCCTCCCTTTTTTTTCCGGGACGATCTATGGAGCGCTGGGACTTGTTCAAAGTGTCCACGGTGTTGGGGGGGTTTGCGGAGGGAGGGGGGTTGGCACCCTACCCTCCCTTCCACACACAGAAAGGCACCTCAAGAATTACCTGGAAGATCTTTGTTTTTTCTCTTGTGACCCCCACTTTTCGGTGCCATGGCCTCTAAGGTGGGAAGTGAGACTGCCCTCCACACGCCCCACGCCATCCACCCGCCCCACGCCCCATGCCCCACGCATCGACGCCCCATTCGCCCCACGCGTCGAGTCGACGCGCCTCGGCGTAGCAGCGGGTGGCCGCCAGCAGAGCCAGCAGCAGCACCGTGGCGCTCAAAGTCAGCTGCCAGCAGCAGCGCAGCATCGCCAGGTAGCCTCTCCAGGCAATACGAAGGCCAGGCGCCCCGCCGGCGTGGCTTTTTGCGAGTTGTTTTTGTTGTGTTTCCTATTTTTGTTTCTTGTTTTTTTTCCGTTAGGAGGAACCCCCGGCTTTTGGTTGAGGGCAAGGAAGGAAGAGTTGCATGTTTGCTTCATTTTCCCTTTTTTCACTCGGAGGAACCCGCGGCTGTTGAAGTTAAGGGGAAGGAGGAGTTGGTTCAGGGTGAAATATGCCGGTGCTCTTTTTTGGCGGGAACCCTTTTGGTTGAGGGGAACGAGGAGTTGGTCAGGGTCAAATGTGCTTTCCGTCTCTTTGTGTTTTTCAGCGGAACCTGCTTTTGATGAAGGGAAAGAAGAATTGGTGGTGTCAAAACTGTGGGCCATGGGGATTCCATAACACGGATCCCGACCATGGTGCGCAAATTGTGCTTGCCGCAAAATCGGGAGGCAAGAAGAGACTGTTGGACGGGCATGCAATTTTGAGGGTGCCCTTGTCAGGTTAGTTTAAAGGGAAACTGCAAGAAAACAATGCATGCATGGAGGTCCTGCATGTTGACGCATACTCAAATCTAGCTGATCAAAATGGGGTTTGGGGGGGCACTCACTGACTCACTCGCTCGCCCGCTCGCTCGCCCGCCCGCCCGCCCGCCCGCCCGCCCGCCCACCCGCTACTGCACTGAGTCACTCGCATCGCTCACCTCACCTCAACCTCACGCACGCACGCACGCTCTCTCTCTCTCTCTCCCTCTCGCTCTCTCTCTCTCTCTCTCTCTGTCTGTCTGTCTGTCTGCCTGCCTGCCTGCCTGCCTGCCTGCCTGCCTGCCTGCCTGCCTGCCTGCCGCCCGCCTGCCTGTCTTTCTTCTGCAACAAATCTGTTGAAAGACAACAACCTGCTGTGTGTGTGTGTGTGTGCGTGTGTGTCCCTTGTTTGTTGCTTGCCCAGGGGCGGCATCCCTGTGAAGCCAAGTATGGAAGTGCCGGCACTTGATGGACAAACAACCTCCCCGTATGATCCGCAGAACACCAAGCCACCATCAAAGGCTCGTCCTTTGGGTGTGCCAAGATTGGAGGTAGCACATTAGATGAGCTACATGCTGGCTTGAGCACCTCCAGCACATCCAATCTGAGGTCTTCAGGAAAGGAACATTCATGTCTGGCATTCCAAAACTTTGAGATTCCCAACGATGTGGCTGTGGGTCAAAACCAATGAGACCCCATTTTGGGGTAGGTGCACCACCCATTTTAGAACCTATTTCAGTGGGGATTGGGATGTTCACCGGGGGTACGATTTGGATTTTGACCCATGGCTCCATGTCCCTGGAACTCCGTTTCGGGCGGAAACAGACGTGCAGCCCACGGGGCCCAGCAGCGTCACGACACCGGAGCGCAGCAGGAAGTTCAGCACGTCGTCCAGGCTGGCAAAGACCTCCGCGACGGGTCGCTGGCGGTTTGGAGCCCGGTGGCTTGGTGGTGAAACGGAGGCCTCCATTTGCTTAAGCCCCCTGGACAAAATAAACATATGTCCAGTAGTGAAATCGATTCCCTTTCAAACCAACAGGGGAGAATAAAACATATTCTTAACCAAATGGAAGGAGGGGTGTCCCATTTTCCCTCCACAAACACCAGGGCTCAAATCCCAAACCACCAATGAAGGGCTACCTGCGTTTAGGTGGTTGGAAACCGAAAAAAACAAAATAGCGAAACAACCAAAGCACAAAAGCGGCTGTATACGTATTCCCACCGGCATCTGATCTGAACCAGCGGCTGCATACGTATTCCCACTTGCCTTCGACCTGAGCTCTCGTGCGTCAAAATGGGGAGCTCCGTTTTCTGTGTCTACCTCTGTCAGTCGTGCCCTTCCCACCCGCTCCCAGGCTCCCCCTGCTGCATCAGCATCCCGTACCCGGAGCGTGGGCTGAAAATGCGAGAGGACAAGATACGAACACGCCAGCTTGGCGTGAAAATGGGTATGCGTTGAATTTCAGCCCCTGGTGGATACCATTTGGAGTCGGATTCATAGTGTCCAGCAACCAAAATATATATATATATATATACATACATATATAATACATATAATATATATATATAATATATATATAACTATAAAACTTCACGGACAAATCGTGTCCGCTCCACCCCAAAGCCCCGGTTCGTAGAATGCCAAGGCGCCAGCTGGCAGTCCGAGGTCAGCCTGGAGCTCAACTCCGCGGCGTCCACCTAATCAGAACCCAGGGGGACCCTTTGCTCTCTATTCCCATGTGGATGTGGCTCAAAATCAAACGATCGGAGGGGCAAACCGCAGGTCTTGGTCCATGTTTCCACTTACCAGGGCAAGCCATTTTGGAATTCCGGTTTTTTGAGCCACAGCCACGTGCGAGCATAGCAAATTGGAGCGGCAAACGGGAAACTGGGGGGGGGGGGGGGAACAAATTAGTCATGAGTCATGCTCAAAACCTGGCCCTGGAGAGGTCCCCAAAACAGATGAAGAATCAAACCCGCGGCCAAAGACCGATTCTTGGGACTACCGCCTACCAACCCTGATCTACCCCGGTCTTGTGGCCCAGGCGTCAATGGCACGCTTGCGCAATGCTCAAAGACGCGAGTTGCCAATTTGGGAGTTTCCTCAGAGGATTCCAAACGAACACTTCGGTTTCCCTCCCCTTCAAAAATCGTTTCAGGGGCGGAGGTCCCTGATAGTCCAAATTCAAACCAGCCTGCAGAAACGGGCTGCGCGCAAAGTTGTGCCATCGGCTCTCGGGCGTGAACTGACATTTCAAGCAGGCCAACTCTACTTAAAAGCGCCCAACAATTCTGAAGAAGCACGAGTATTGCCGACCATACTGAAACAGACAAGGAAATTGATGGCATTGCAACGTTCAAAACAGCTTTGGGTGCTGCGGCATAGTGCAAAGCGTGAGGCGACGAGTTCCAGCCTTGTCGTAGAAGCTCATGCTCTTTGACCTGATGGAACTAGTCTCGCGCGGCGTGTCTCAAATGAGCTCAATGCAGGAAGAACGTGAAGGGTCCTGAACTTTGTTGCTGTTGACCCCATCTGCAAAAAGTGCAGCTTTTTGCGGTCTGGTGGAAAATCTAACCTGTTTCGACCAAAAAGTTAAAGTCCGAATGTCCAACCAAATGGCCATAAAGTGAACTTGCCCCTGGCCGCCCTGGCCATCAGGCACACGGGTGAAGGGAGGCGTTGTCCAGGAAAACGTGCCCACCATCTTTTACAGTTCGTTCAACCGTGGCAATTGCACCCATTTGGTCTGTGCTTGAGAAACGCCCATGCGAGGCCGCCAACGCCGGCCAAACAAAACCAAAGCATCCACACCCTTCAACTGGGCTACTGCGAGACTGAGCCTTGAAACTTCGCCGCCCACTTCACCAACCATGGGGTCACTAGATTTCCCCAATGAAAAGGTCATCAATTGACCGGTACCTTCCATGGTCACCAAAAGTGTCAAACTGGCGGCTTCCGTTGGAACGATCCATCCCAGAGGTCCCTCCAAATGCCTCAAAAAACCACCCAACCCAAGTCCGCCTCCGGGTCCCCGAGCTTTTCGGGCCCGAGCCGGGCCCCGAGGCCCCGGGGCGCGGGGCTCAGCGGGTCAGGGCTCCGGGCAAGTAGCAGTCGAAGGTCTTCTCCCTCAAGGCCTCCACGAAACTCAGGCGAGTCAGGTGGAAGCTGAAGCTGCGGAGGCCGTTCATGGCGGCCACCCCCAGCGCCTCAGCGCCCCATCGGCGAGAGGCCGATGAAGTCACGGCTTCGGGGATGGATGCGCCCCTGAAGGCTTGCCTTGGAGCCCGAAGAGGCAGGGAATGAGTTGGATGGAATGAGCCTTGAGCGCCTCAGTAGGCAGAGAGGGGGCCAAGTTGGGCTCGGCAGGATCGGGCCCCGAGCTACTTAGGCCCTTTTTTGGTGTGAGAGAGGCAGATGGAATGAGGATGGAATCATCCCGACATAAATTCCATCCAACTGGTGGTTGTCTTTGTAAGGGAATCCCCTAAACCGGTTCAAATCCGCAGCCCCTACTTGTCGCACCAGATGTCTAAACCAACCCTAAACCCATCCTAGAGGAAAGGGAAGCAGAAGGGTGGTGGTGGAAATGAACCAGGAGAATAGTTTGAGAGATTTGCCAAACACCCCAGGGAGGTGTGAGTCATGGACCAAGCACTTATAATTACTTTCGCGGTGTACGCTCTCGCCCGAGGGGAAAGGAACATCCCTGATACGTGCCAGGGGCGCCAAAAAGCCATGCAAATGGAGGCTCCAAAACTCCAAGGCATCAAACAACCGGAAAAGATCGGGGGATTTCTGGTGGGTCAGCTCATCTCATGCCAGTCCATAGAGGAAACCATCGCTCAGTTCGTTGTGAAGAACGAATCTTGCAACCGCAGGAAGCAAGCAGGCCTAAAGACACACCCAACAGGGAGACTACACATGTTCATGCTCATGGGGAAGGGTTCCAATTTGCACAATTCACTGGAGCATTGGACGTCAAAATGCTTGCTCAGGCCCGCCCGAGACATCAACCTTAAAGTACTTGCTGCCATTCTGGAAGCGATTGGCAAGGCACCACCAGGCCCAGCGATTGCACCTGGCTGCCATCCAGAACTACTAGTAGGATTTGTTTTTTTCCGGTTTGGGCTTGTCAGGGGAAGAAATCCTCACCTGCCACCCCTCCAAGCAAGAAGTCCACTGTCTACATTTCCTAGTCGTTCATTGCATGTGACCTCGTGGCAAGGCATGGCTTCTGCATCATGTGTCATTATGGCCAGCACGCGCCAAAAGGCATGGTTCCAAATGGTCACAGACTGTTCGGACTGTGTGCAATTCTGAAGATCCACCACACACTTGCAAATGATTGTTGTTTCGGCATTTGCTCGCTTCACAGTCGTGACTCTTCGTGCATCCTTCGCTATTCTGTGCATTATGCGTTTGGCTCAAGAAAGGGAACCCCCCCCCCCAAAGTGGATAAAGGACCCAAACTCCCATGCAGTCAAAACTGTTGGAAAAAGGTTCATGAACCCTCCCGCCCTAAATGGTGGGTATCAGTACACCTAGTCAAAACTCCTGAAGGGTTCCTTAACCATCCGCGCCTAATAAATGGGTTCATTAAGCATCCACGCGCTTTTCGGGTGATCATTTTGGGTTTCACTCACACCCATGTGCTCAAAACTCCCAAAGGGTTCGGCCCTTTCTGGTGGTTTTCATTCTCATTTTGATCATTTTCGGTTCCACTCGGGTTGAAGCCCCGAACCTTCCCTCCCCCCCCCTTCCCCCACCCCTTCCCCCCACCCGCCCAAGCCCCCACCCCCCCACCACCCCCACCACCCCCCCACCCCCCCACCCCCTCCCCCCCCCGGCGCTCATCGAGGCCTGGGGCAGCGCCTGCTGCCCGCGGCTGGCCGCCAGCAGCGCGGCGGCCGCCAGCGGCGGCACCGCCAGCTGCAGCAGCGAGGCGCCCAGCAGCCCGAAGACGCCCAGCGCCAGCCTCCGGAAACCCAGCTCGTTGAGGCCATCGAGTTGATGTCTTGTTGTTTAAATGTTGCTGTCGTGTTGTTTAAATGTTGCCTCTTGTTTGTTTGTTTGTTGGTTTGTTTGGCTAGTTGTTGGCTTTTTTCTTTTCTTTTGTGTGTGTGTGTGTGCGAGTTTTCCCGAAAGCATGGCGAAGGGTTCTTCCGCTGGGTTCACTTGAGTTGTTCTCATGAGAGTCATTACAAGGTGTCACGGCAAGGAATCATCGTCATGGAAGTCGTTGCAAGGAGTCATTGCAAGGAGTCATTGCAAGGAGTCATTGCAAGGAGTCATGGCAAGGAGTCATTGCAAGGAGTCATGGCTAGGAGTCATGGCAAGGAGTCATTGCAAGGAGTCATTGCAAGGAGTCATTAGGAGTCATTGCAAGGAGTCATTGCAAGGAGTCATTGCAAGGAGTCATTGCAAGGAGTCAAGGAGTCAAGGAGCAAGGAGTCAGCAAGGAGTCATTGCAAGGAGTCATTGCAAGGAGTCATTGCAAGGAGTCATTGCAAGGAGTCATTGCAAGGAGTCATTGCAAGGAGTCATTGCAAGGAGTCATTGCAAGGAGTCATTGCAAGGAGTCATTGCAAGGAGTCATTGCAAGGAGTCATTGCAAGGAGTCATTGCAAGGAGTGTGCAAGGAGTCATTGCAAGGAGTCATTGCAAGGAGGCAAGGAGTCATTGCAAGGATTTGCAACTTGCACTTAACTTACTTGCACTTGACTCCTGCACTTGACTTCCTTGCACTTGCAACTTGCACTTGACTCCTTGCACTTGCAACTTGCACTTGACTCCATGCACTTGCAACTTGCACACTCCATGCACTTGCACACTTGCACTTGCAACTTGCACTTAACTCCGTGCACTTGCGACTTGCACTTGACTCCATGCACTTGGCTCCTTGCAACTTGCAATGCTCTCATGACTCCTTGCAATGACTCCTTGCAATGACTCCTTGCAATGACTCCTTGCAATGACTCCTTGCAATGACTCCTTGCAATCTCCTTGCAATGACTCCTTGCATGACTCCTTGCAATGACTCCTTGCAATGACTCCTTGCAATGACTCCTTGCAATGACTCCTTGAAACAAGCAAGGAGTCAAGTGCAAGTTGCAAGTGCAAGGAGTCAAGTGCAATTGACTTGCGAGGAGTTAAAATCTCTTCTTAGGGCGGCGGGGTAGTGCCGACGACACTACACGAAAATCGACCCTCTGCGGGGATCGGCGTGGTCGAGGTGCAAAAACCCATGGTTTTTTTGCGATTTCTAAAATGCTGCGGCAATCGGCGTGGTGGAGGTGGAAAAACTCGAGGTTTTTGCGACTTTTGTTGTTCAATTGTCTCGTGGTTCGCGCGCCTGCTCCCGGAACCGGCGGGTCGCGGGTTCGATTCCTCCCTGGTCCCGGGCGGGCGTCGCAAGATGCAACTTGCATTTTAAAGCAACTTGCGCAGAGCAACTTGCGCAGAGCAAGTTGCACAGAGCAACTTGCGCAGACCAACTTGCACCGACCAGTTTGCGCAGAGCGCCTTGCCTAGAGCAACTTGCGCAGAGCAACTTACGCAGAGCAACTTGCACAGAGCAACTTGCACAGAGCAGCTTGCACAGAGCAACTTGCAGGGAGCGCAATTTGCACAGAGCAACTTGCAGGGAGCCACTTGCAGGGACCAACTTGCCGGAGCAACTTGCGCGGAGCAACTTGCGCAGAGCAACTTGCACAGTGCAACTTGCGTAGAGCAACTTGCGCAGACCAACTTGCACCGACCAGTTTGCGCAGAGCACCTTGCCTGGTGCTGTCTCGCGCTTGCTTCACGAATGCTTCGTGTAGGGAAAAAGAACGCATCCTGCAGCGTTGGGCCGACCTCGCTTGCGATGTTCTGCTTTCGGGCCAACCGTGGTCTAGTTTCTTTGTATTCTTCAATGTTCTTCTATGTCCCTTTGTGTTGCCTTGCATTTTGTTTTTTGTTTTGTGGGGGGGGAGGGGTGGCGAGTGGGGCACTGCTTTGGCTTTTCGAACGCCGCGGGGCACAAACCTGCTCGGTGAGACTAGTTCGTGCTTCTGGTAAATGTGGAGGGGAACCCTACACGTTTAAGTCGGCCAATTTTCCCAATACGGTTGTTTTACAGGGGCGGCGTGGGATAGGGTGCGAGGGTGGCTATGTTAGCGCAAGGGTTGTAGTTGCTTGCGTTGGATTGCGGGCTCGATGGTCTAGAAACTTGTTTGGCTGACGCGGTTGCGCGGTTTCAGGAGTTCGTTGTAGTTCAACAAACACCAGCAAAGAGTGGTTTGCGTTGGTGCTTTGCCAGGGTGGTGCCCAGAACACGTCAAGCTGGCTTGGTGTCTGGGGTCTGGCGTTAGCTCAGGCTATGTCTTGCTGGACCTCCTTGCTGGTTGCTCCGCGCTGGGTTCAGTCTTCCCAAGAGCGCCGACGCTGGACTGACACGTCCGGGGACGCCTTGAGTTGTTTTGCGCCAAGTGGCTGTTGTAGCTCTTACATGAAACCCAATGACGACAAATCAAAACGACCCCAAGTACCACACTCGGGCGCGAACCAACATGTAAGGAAGGTATCCTGAAAAGGGCTACATCGTTCGCGCCACGCCGTGTCACACGGTGCGCCGTGTCACGCCCTCCCTCCCAATGGCACCAGCGGCGGTCAGCGCGAGGAAGCAGCTGCCACATCTGCCCGGAGCTGGAGCTGAGCACCGCAGGCCTTCAAAACTCCCGAGCCAGTTCCCCTTAAAGCCTCACCCCAAGAGACACTCGCCTTTGGGCCAAAAAGGGTGACGTTAAAACCCACCCAAAAACAGAAAGATAGGAATCGACCCCTGTTCCAGGGCAGCGCGAATTGCGTCAGCCAAACGCGCCCAACCACCCACAAACTCCCGGCCTGCGGCACGCCGCGCGAAGGCCGGGCACCGGTCCTGGAGCGGGGGGGAGGGGGGGAACAGGCGCTTGGTGGCGCGAGGGCTACGCGCGCCACTGCCATGAGCTTAGCAACGTAGAGCCCCATTCGTCAGTTTGCAAAATTTGAGCGCCCAGCAGCGCCATCTACGATATTAGGGGTGCTCCAAAGCAGCGCGGGCGGCCAGATGAATGACGAGGAACGGTGGGGATCTGTTACAAAGCGAGCAGCAGCGAGTGCTCTCAAGTGTCTTTGTGGCTTGCGTTCCTGACGTTTGCAGTCCAGTCGCTTGCAATTTCTGCTGGTGGAGTTGGGTTGCCCTTCCCTCAAACATGTTGAAATTTCAACGTTGTTTCTTGAATGGTCCTAGGCACTGAAATGACCTGCCAGGAACCGGTTCCTGCGCAGGTTCTTTTTTGGAGGGAGGGTAAATGTCGCGCATCAAGAACAGTAGAGTTTAGCCTGCCCTAAAAACACCCAAGCATCCCCAACAGCATGGGGGGCAAACTCCAATTCCCCTAAACCTATCCCGTCCCCTCCACCTTGCCCAAGCCAAGCGGCCTACGCCTAGGATTCCTGCGTTTTGAGCATGTCACACCGGAGATGCCACTGCAAGAAAGTCAAAGGCCAAAAACATCCCCGGCGAAAGTCTTGCTGCCCTCTTCCAGACATTTGCGTTGCGCTTTCCTTGGAACCAACGGTCGCAGTGTCAACCGACTGGGGCATTCGCAGCTTCAGCCAATCGGATTCGCCCAGACAGCTGTAGAAGGCTCTGGCTCTACAGTTTTCTTACAAAAAAATATTCCTAACATCAAACTAACCTTCAGCACGTAAGATTCTTGAAGATACCATTGCTTTGCAGTATTTCACAATACTTACGTACATGAATTGACAACATCGCAGGTACTTGAGGCATGTGCATTGTAACAGTATGACCTGCATTACTCGCAGCCCGCTTCCGCAAAAACCCGAAACCGATCGCCTCCGGGCCGCGGCGCTCTCGCCATCGGACCTGCGGAACTGTGGTTGGCCCTGCGAGCTGCTCTCAGGTTTCCCCGAAAGCTCCAAATACCCGAGCGTTTATTTAGGGTATCATGTCGACCCTCTACTAAAAAAGGTTTGGTATTTACCATGGAAAACCGAAACCGGTTTTCAAGCAAACATACCAACTGAAAAAGGCGGGTATTTTGAGTAGGAGGTTCCCCGACAAAGCCTTCAGGGATGAAAGGTCGGATGTGACCCAAGGCATGTGACAGGACAAGAAGGGAGGAAAAAGTCGGCATGAGCCCATGCCCTCTGTCTGAATGCCTTTGGTCATCTTAACCAATCTAGTCAAAACTTCTCATAGAGGCCAATGTCTTTAAAGGCTGAAACTTCCACGGGGCTGCAACGAGACTACCCGTAACTAGCTGCCCCAAGCACTCACGCGGAGCTCATTTACTGCGGCCAGAGGGTGGAGACTAACACAACCACCAAATCGCCCCATGAGTGCGTCATGTTTTGAGGGGATCCTTTTCAGGTTGACTTGAAAGGTCAACCAAGATGACACCAACCACTTCTGGGGTCCCCCCCAAAAAAAATCGACGCGCCCGCAGTGCCGCGCTTTCTGTGCCTGGCAGGTCGTCTCAGAGGACTCGCAGCTGATCTGGGCTTCCCTTTTTGGGGGGTCGTTTTAAGGGACGCCAAAGGAAAACCACTCTTTTGGTGGGTCCCCTGAAAATAGGGTCTCCGGGATACATGGCTTTCTCGTCACCTGCTTAGGAATGAGATGTGCAAGGGAACAGCCCAGTGTTTCGAGGCGAGCAACAGTGTGAATGTGAAGCCCGGGGAAATGCGGCGAGATAGTCTTCACATTGCTCCCGTGAAATAGGGCAAACATGCTGCGTCACCAGGATCTAACGCAGTGATGTACTGACGGCTCAAAGGCATTTCTTGGATGCTTGCCCTTTGAGGCTACTCCGAGGAACCCAAACCTGCAACTTGTCTGATCCTCTGACCACCCCCAATTTCTGACCCCCGCCCCCCAAAAGCCGCCTACGAAGAGCAGCGGCGGCTGCGGCCGCGGGCGGCGCAGCACCACCGCCGTCACCGCCAGCACAGCCACCAGCCCCAGCCTCGCGCTGAGGCGAAGCTCGGCTGAAGGTGGGGGTCACTCCCTCAGAGCTGCCAGGCCTCTGTAAACGGAACCAACCCCCTACTCCAACAGTACACCTGAACATTGCCTTGTAAATGGCGTTGTCCCTTTATTTTGGTAGAAAAAGCCATGTTTAAGATGGGCAAAATGTATCTTTTAAGGAGCCCTGTCCAAATACCCGGCCTTGTTTCAGTGTATGATGTCGACCCTCTACTAAATAAGGTTTGGTATTTACCATGATCGGTTTTCCCAAAAATACCATGAAAAATGCGGTATTTTGAGTAGGGGGAAGTCTTCCAAACAAAACCTGGGAGCTTCCACGGAATCGCCCGGGGGAGAAAGTATGCCGGCAAGTGGCTCAGCAACCAGAAACCGCACGCATATGCATTGAAGGCTCCCTGCCCCTCCCCACAGGGCACCCTTCCGAGCCAAGCCAGAAGCTTCCAGCTCGTTCACATACTGCGCCCCTGAACCATCTAAACGAGTCAGTCACCATGATCAAAGTCACCCCCTAAATGATGGGTTAAAAGAAAACACCCCATTTTCTGACTTTGATAACCCCTAGAAACGGTCAAAATAATGACCCCAGAGTCATCCATCAGACTTCAAGGAGAGATGCTTCCTAGATAGCCAAGTTGAGATTGCTTTTTGCAGTCACTGTTGCTGTGGGGTCAACTGGCGATCCAGGTTGTTGCAGTCACCCAGCGAGCTGACCCGCCTTTTTCAGTTGGCATTTTAAGGAAAGCCGGTTTCGGCTTTCCACGGCAGATACCAAACCTTTTGTGGTAGAGGGTCGACATGATACCGGGTATTTGGACAGGGCTCCTGAAAAAAGATAACTCCATTTCGCAACCAGTTGAAACATGTGGCTTTTCCCGCCAAGATAAAAGAGAACACCGCCATTTACAACTGAAAAAAAGTGGTAATTATTTGGAGGTCACGGGGTCCGTCGGACTTCAAGGAGAGAAGTCTGGATTTTCACCCCGACCGAGCGGTCCTAAACTGGGGCGGATTCCGACCATTTTCAACGAGCCTTCTTTTCAAGCCCGTTTTTCCCCCGAGTCTCCGGAGGTTTTTGTTGGAAAGATCCAGATCCCTGGAAAGAATGGAATGGGCAAGGTATTTTTGAGAGAAACAAAAGTCGCTCCTCCACCAGGGGGAGCTCACGCGCTTCAGCCGCTGCGACCAGCGGCTCACCTTCACCTCCTGGCCGACGCGCGTTATCGGAAAAGCGGGGTTGATGCTGTGGGTTGCGAAATCCATTTCGCACCACTTGGAAAACATGGTTGAAACCAGTGGTTCTTGGTATTTACAGGGGAATCATTCTGCCAGGGTTTCTTGGGTGGTTTCACCTGAGAAACCATAGATTGATGATTCCCCAACGGAAATACCAACGAACAATGGATTTCGTCCATCCACAGTATCACTCTCTCTCTCTCTCTCTCTCTCTCTCTCTCTCTTCATGTTCCCTCGTTCTTTGGTGGTTTGGAGCCCGGTGGTTCGGTGGCTAAGGAAAAAGGGTTGCCGTTCAAATCCCCCAAACCGCCAAATGTTGCTTGATCCTCCATACTGTGGGTGGGCAACCTGCACCACCTATGACACTCTCGAATGATGGATTCCCCAATGTAAATACCAATAAACAATGCTAGGTCCTCCAGATTTGAGAGGTTAGAATAAGGGTACCCGAATTGTTTTCTATAGTCTATTGTAGTAGGGGAATCCTCCCCCAAAAAAGGGTAAAAGGGCACTACTGAGGGACCTAGCCAATGAACAATGGTTTGCCATGGCTTCCAAATGGTGCAGGAGTTCGTCCATGCAGAGTAGGACCTTTCCGGACAGCAATTGAGACCCCGGCCTTGGCGAATGCCGCCCCAGCACCAGCTGCCAGCAGAAGTGTTACTCGGATAGGCTGAGTTCTCCAGGGCAGAAAGGTGCAACATGAATCCCACGCGACACTGGCCCTACTGTGGATGGACGAGATCCTGCACCACCTGAAAAACATGGGAAACCATTGTTTGTTGGTATGTACAGGCGAGTCATCATTCCAGGGTTTCTTAGGTGCAGGATTTCGTCCATCCACAGTATGGCGGTTTCTTCAAAGCGCTTTGTGTTGAAACCCGAGGCGTTTGATTGTTGCCAGGCCTTCCCTGGAGCACGGCTGCATCAAGCATTAAGTCCCCGAATCCGCCAATTTGGCTTGGAGAGCCGAGGCTCAGATTGCAAAGGTGCGCTTGGTGTAGAAAGGTGACATGTGGAACAAGTCCAGCAGAATCTCGATGACGATCAGGTAGATGACGATCCACTCCTGCGCTAGACCGGACCGTGGCACTCTCTCTCTAAGTCTGGCTCTGGGCATGTATATAGCCAGCGAGGCATACCAAACAAACAAAACAAAAAGGACAGCTCCTTCTTTTCAGCTTGAAGGCAACCATACAGCATCCTGGCTCCAAGGCAAAGCTGAAACCCCTGCACCAAGCTCATCCCTCCATCTGGGTCAGGAAGCTGAATTCACAGATAGCACGGCAAACTCTGGGACACTTCCGCTAGGCAAGCTTTCAAGTGCGCCTCTGTGCAATCGGCATTCGGTGGCGAAACATTAGATTTGCTGCACCCACAGTCCTCAATAATTCCCTTACTATGGCTCAGACCTCTGTTATTGTTTCTTGCTCTGGGTCAGCTACACCTGAGTGGTGAACAAAAATACAAGGACAAAACGTCAGAATCCGCAACCTTCCGCGACACGGGGTGTTGGCTTCTTCATGGGTCTTTTGATGGCTCTTTTGCGGGGCAAGCTTGTCGGTGGGGTCCACACCCAAACCGCATTGCGCTTTTGCTTCGGCCCGGGTCAACCCGCGTCTCCAGCTTGTTGGAGTGCTTCACCTCCAGCTGGGTCTGCAGAAAGCTGTAGAGGTCGTTCAGCACCCCCAGCCGCTGATCCAAGATGTCCACCTCTGAGCCAAAACGCCGACGCTTGAGGCTTGGGGGGGGGAGGAAGCACGCCTCGCAGACTCAGATTCAACCAAGATGCAAAGATGTGGCCCTCGCCAAATGTTCCCACGGCTCAAACACCCTTCAGCTTTCCCATGGCAAACCTGGTGCCCTCGCCAAATGAGACATCTACCGACTTCCAAAGCCGGAGGGGACCTCCGGCAGGTCCATACTTCAAGGGGCGATCGATTCGGTACGTCAGGTAAGTGGTGTTACAACCATGGCATTTGTGGGTTATAAATTATAAAGTTATAAATCCATGGCTATTATCTGCTTACTAAGTACCAGATCACCCCTTTACATGCCCCCTTTTGTCGATAGCTCTCCTCAGGTCCCACTTGGACTGTCCCCCCTACTCCGAATGCCCTCTTTTTTCAGGGTATCATGTCGACCCTCTACCAAAAACGGAGGTATTTACCATGGAAACCAGGGTTTCCCAAGAATACCCTGAAAAAAGAGAGTATTTTGAGTAGGGGGCACACTGTATTAGCTTCGTGTCCAGGCCGCCCTCTTGCCAACCTCGAGGTACTTCCGGCACGCCTCGTACTGCCTCGATTCGCAGCCGGCCCCGCGCGTATCGAATGGCAGAAACGAAACCGAGCTCGCCGTCTCACGTCGTCCTCTCAATATTCCCCCTACTCAAAATACCCTTTTTTTTTCAAGGTATTTGTGGGAAAACTTGGTTTTCCATGGTAAATACCTCCTTTTTTAGGTAGAGGGTCGACATGATACCCTGGAAAAAGAGGGTAGTTGGAGGGGGTTGGGGCACTCTTCAGCTTGCTGGTTCGATAGGGGAATGAGAAATGGAACGCCCGCGAGCAAAACTATCCCCTGTGGTTTTGTTTAAAGGGAATCCCCTTCCGGTTCATTCCCAGCACCCGGAAGGTAAGTCCCTACCTATCGCACCAGCCAGTCAAGCGGGTCCAACCGTTTTAGCAGGCTTCAGCACATGGTTCCCAGAGCCAACACTCATGAGCGAATGCAGTCGCGCACCTTTCTCAAGTCAGAATAATTCACTGTGTACGGGTTGTGAGCCGCTTCAAAAAACTGTCATCGCATTCCACATTGCTTGCATTTGCATGGCCTTCCAACAAAAAGAAGCGGCTGGGAGTGTTAGAATGAGCTTGTGTGCGGTCTTGGCCTCTGCTTGATCGTCAGCCTTCTGCCCAATCAATTTGGAAATACTTCTGGAAGGCGTTCCATGACCTGAAGGCGTTCCATGACCTGCCCCCCCCCCCGCACAGCACCTGCCGATGTGTTGTTCATTTTTAATCCACATGCTTTGCATATCGGGCAAAAGGACGCTTGGGAAACACGCAAAAATCGGACGCCAAGGAGAACACTGAGCTGCACGCGCGTAGATCGCTGGACTGAGAGTGCCAGGTGGTCATCCGGCTTCGTGGAACGGCCACGGGCGTTCCGAACGCTCCGTTCGGGATCCAAAGAAGAACGCTCAGGCTTTCAGCTACCCCCTACTCAAAATACCCGCTTTGTTCAGGGTATCTTTTGGGAAAACCTGGCTTTCCATTGTAAAAACCTCCTTTTTTAGTAGAGGGTCGACATGATACCCTGACAAAAGAGGCTATTTGGAGTAGGGCGTAGATCAAAGTAGAAGGTTATGTGACTCAAATCCCTGTCTCTTGAAGAAAGGCGTGGAAGCATTTCGCTGAAGCTGACTGAAGTCAGAATCGGCCAGACGCGCTTGCGTGGCTTTTGTGTGTGCAATATCTTGGTCGAGCGGCCCCTACTCCAAATAATCTAAATCATGTCAACACTCTACAAATGTCCGGAAGTATTCTGGAAAACAAAACAAAAACTGGGGGGCTTTCCGCAAAAATGCCCCGAAACAAAACCATTTGGGGTAGGCGATCCGAGTTCCGAGTTTCTCGGGTTTCGAAAATCCGATCCGAGGGGCGCGTCGAATTGGTCGTGCTCCCAAAGGATCTCGGGGGTGCCCAGCATGTCGGTCTGCAGCCTTTGGCTTTAGATGGCGCCGGCTGGCGCCTTTAGGCTTTGAGGGGGAATTCGAACCCCATCAAGATGCTGAAAAAGGTGTGTTTGCCAACCCAGCCAAGTGTTGGGTAGCGGCTTCCCAAAGTGTGCCTCTTGGGGGAGCTGCCGAAATGGTGGGGGCTGCCGTTTAGGGGGCCTCGGAAGCAAGCCACACCCAAATGAGGGAGTACCGGTGGTTTCACTCCGGTGCACTTTCGTGGCATGGAAACAGCATGCAAACACCTACCAGCAAAGACGTTGTGCTAGAACTCTGGAAATGGGGTTCATCAAAAGGTCCTTTACATGGGCGACCATTTGGGAAGCCACCACAAACAGGCAGATACCACCAGAAAACCGCAGGTTAAATCGTCCTTCCCTTTTCCAGGGCTCCGTTTTTGGGGTTACCCTATTTTTGCCCACCACACCATGCGAAAAGTGACCCGTGGTCATTTTGGGGTTACCCATCGATTCTTGTTCCAGCCCAAGCCCATCGGTGGCCTTCCATGGGGCCGAATCAAGCGGCCGAGCGGCGTCAAGGAGCACTTCGTCACAAAGATGCCGCCCATTTGCCTCGCGCGAAGCTTGGCCGGGTCTCTCAACAATGGGTTCCCAAAATGGGCGGGGCTTCCTCTGTCCCTTTAAAACCATAGAAGGCTCTGCCATGTTGAGAAACCCCCATTTCCCCCCGAAATCTGCATGCCCAGACCTCTTGCAAGTAGGGGAGCTTGCGGGAAATACATCGAAATGCCAACATCCAACATGCGTCTGCATGGATCGCTCCTCGCACAGACCTTCCAGGGCCCGGAAGCTCAAGCGTTGACCATGCCCCCGAAACGGCGGCAAAGAAACAACAAGCATACTGGGCACGTCAAAATGGCCATGTCAATGTGAAAACCAAGGAATCCACAGTTCGTCCTGTGTGTTCCAATGTGAAAATCAACCAACCAGACATCAAAACTGCCATTGTGTCAATGCAAGGAATCAAAAGTCCCCTGTCAAACCAAGGAATTACAAGTCTCTTGGGAGAATCTCAGCCCTGGGCTGCCCTCAGATCCCCTGCTAAAAGTTTAACGTTTGGTGGGTCAAATGGAAACCCCCACTCAACACTAAAAGTCTAAAAAGCTAAGGGGATGGCTGGAAGCCACCAAGAACCGTTTTCCTGAAGACTGATTGGACCTCGTCGCCAAGTCCCACCGGCCGGCCACTTGGCCCCGAGAGACGTATCGAGCGGCATCTTCACCAGCTTCTCGTCCATGTCGAAGGTGCCATACTGCGCCAGCGACTCGGGGATCGGCTTGGCCTCAGAAAACAAATCCATCAGCGCGTTATACTGGCCCCAATATTTTACCAATATCAAAGTCACCCCCTAAGTGGTGGGTTAAAGGGAAACAACCCGAGTTTCTGACTTTGATAACCCCTAGAAACAGCCAATATAAGAACCCCAGTTACAGGCTCCCTTTGGTACCAAACTGCACGGTGGCAATATGCTATTTGGCCAGTGGAGCGGTGGAGCAACGTTGCCTCTCTCTATGGCTCTCACTGGAAAAACAATCCAACTGATTCAAAAAAACAACTTGGATTCTGGTGTAAAACAGAACTTCGATTATAAGCGACATTGTATTTAGAGGTTCGCCCCGGGAAAAGAAGAAGAAGCAGAACGAGAAGAATAAAACACGGTGAATGCAGCTTCCTGTATGGTTTTGTTTGGAGCTTCGTGGGCCAAACCCTCGGCGCACGTCAAGCGCCTTCTCAATGGCCGCATCCACAATCTTCTCGAAGGTCGCCAACTTCACGCTCTGCGCAAATGCGTAGCCTCGGGCCAGCCAGTTGCTCGGATGGAGTGGAGTGGTGGGGGTTGGCGAAATCCGTGCAAACGTCTGGCACCACGGAAGGATTTTCGATGTTTCAGGGGGAATCATCAGAAACCAACGTTTCACAAGAGCGATTTGCGACATGGACGTTCCACAGAATGCGCTCTTTCTTGAAGCCAGCCAGCCGGCGTCCGTCCCTCACAGCCCCCAAAGAAACAAAAAAACACTCACACTCCAACCGGGGTTAAGAGTCGACCCCCCCAAAAACAAAACGGCAGCCTTACGGGGCCTTGGTCAAGGCCCCCGCTGTATGCCAGGGCTTCATCTCCCAGGCAAGTGGCTAAAACGATGTGGTCGCCGCCTCAGCCGCTCGAGCGGTAGTGCCCGAAACGACGCTCGAGCCGTGCATGGTCCAAATCAGGGCATTGGGAAAGTGAACACTTGCTGAAAAGATGTCGAACAGGGTTCCATGCAACCAATGGTCATCTTCCATGTTTCCTGATCAACGCGTAAGTTGTTAGATTTCTCTAGGGGTTGATTCCAATTCCATTCTTTTCAGCCATTCTTTTCAAAAGCCGATCGCCATTTCCCCAGGGTGATTGGTGGAAAGATTCGGATCCCTGGAAAGAATGGGGAAGTTACCCCTAGAACTGTCTTACTACCACAATGACTTCAACCCCCTCATGTACCCCCAAAAAAGGGAAACCTGGGGTTAAGTCTATCTGCAGGTAGTCAAACAATGGAACATATCACGGTGCTCAATCCTGTCCAATGTTTCCAAGCACAAAACGACTGGAAGCGAATTGCTGTCCCGGGCATCTTGAGTGGACTCTCGCAAAAATGCAAAACCACGGGCGTCCAATCCAAAAACAATGGGCAATTGCTCCGGAGACTGTCCAAAAAGCCAGCTAGAATCAACTGCCCATAAACACCTTGCATCATTCATGTTACAGCCACATGGCCATGGGTCAAAAGCTAAATCGTACCCCCAGTGAACATCCCAATCCAACCACTAGTGCTGCATTCACCTACCAACCAAAATGGTTCCAAGGGCTTTGACACACAGCCGGTGGTGAATTCACCTACCCCCCCCCCCCCAAAAAAAAATGGGATCCCAAAACGGTTTTGACCACAGCCACATGGCGCCAGCGTCCGAGAATGCTGGGGCCCCGCCAAAAAGGGCGCCAAAAGGAGCCCACGGGCACGGATCCGGGAAGGATCTCTAGCGCGAGTCAGCGCAAGGTCCCCGAAACCTCCGAAAGTTCCGAAGCTTCGCTGCTGAAGAAATCCTCTGACCCCTGAGTTTTCATATGTTTTCATACTTGAAGGCATGTGCAAAGCCGAAGAGTCAACATGCCGAAAATTGGCGACTCACAACATGAGAATCGATGGAGATACTCACCTTCTCCCGCGCTTCACCCTCCAGGGCGCTCAACTTTGGTGCGGCAGGGGCTTGCAACTCCAGCTCTGTGACCTGCGCTCAGGCCGGAAGTTTTGGCTAGTGAAGGCTTCGGCATTGATCTTCGGCACCCCATCTTTTCAATGCCTGACATGTTGTAGCAGCTTCATCCAGCGAAGAGGGAGTTTACCAAGCGAGAGAGAAAGAGAAGTTGAACAAACTTGCAGATGGTATGTTTCGCAGACTGAGTTTGCGGCACTCAGGGACCCTTTCGTTCCCATTCTCTGAGGCCTGAGCCTCGTGCGATTTCTCGCCTCGTTGTTGGCGGCCTCCATGGCGAAGGTCATGGTGTCCGTCTCCACGTCCTCCGGGAAGAACGTCTCTCCTGGCCGAGAAAAAACAAAAACAAAAGCAGAAGAAGAAAACAAAAAACACCCTCGTTCAGTGTTGTTTGTTCCCCTTATTTTTCGGGCAAGGAGGACTTAAACTCCACTTCCCCGGCGAAAAGAGCGCAAAACCAGATCGAGCCCAAAGTCTTCCCAACCCACAAAGGCCTACCCACACCGAACGACCCCCCGGAAATTGGGAAATTTGGAGAAGCGATCGCATTTCCGTAAGTACCAGGACTTTTCTTCACGCTGACAGCAGGCCAACTGAAGGCAACGGAAATAAGCTCGGGGGTTCACTCAGCTCGCTGCAGGTGTTCAAACCAGCAACGTAGATCCAAACAGGATCTGTGGCGAATTTTTGTTGGCCCTTGCCATTGCTGCCCCAAAATCAGGTTTGTTTGTTTTCTGCCGAATGGCAAAGTGTGGGTTAGCTATAGCATGCAAACCGCTTTCCACGCGATATAGAAGCAAAGAACTCTCACAAAAGCAAGGCGCAACTCGTGCTGGTTTTGTCTCAAAAGCAGTCCAACTGAGCCTGAATCCTACTGCTGTCACCGCCAAAGTTAGGATCGCCCCAAGTGACCACAAAGCCGTCGGCCAGGATGGCAGCAAAAGCGCAGTCAGTTGCTTGGATCTGCTGGACCTGCACCAACTGCTCTCGCACCTGGCTGCTGTCACCGCCACTTCCTGAAAGACCCCAAGTCACCACAGAACCGTCGGCCAGGATGGCAGCAAAAGCGCCGTTAGTTGCTTGGATCTGCTGGACCTGCACCAACTGCTCTTGCACCTGGCTGCTGTCACCGCCACATCCTGAAAGACCCCAAGTCACCACAGAGCCGTCGGCCAGGATGGCAGCAAAAGCACGCCGAGTTGCTTGAATCTGATGGACCTGCACCAACTGCTCTTGCACCTGGCTGCTGTCACAGCCATACAAATTCAGGCCCCAAGTCACAACGGACCCATCTTCCAGGACGGCCGCAAAAGCACCCTGAGTCGCTTGGATCTGCTCGACGCGTACTAACTGCCCTCTCACCCGGCTGCAGTCACCGCCAAAGTCACGATCGCCCCAAGTCACCACAGAGCCGTCTGCCAGGATGGCCGCAAAAGCACGCTCAGTTGCTTGAATCTGCTGAACCTGCATCAACTGCTCTCGCACCTGGCTGCTGTCCCCGCCATTGACAGGATCGCCCCAAGTCACCACAGAACCGTCGGCCAGGATTGCAGCAAAAGCGCCGTTAGTTGTTTGGATCTGCTGGACCTGCACCAACTGCTCTTGCACCTGGCTGCTGTCACCTCCACTTCCTGAAAGGCCCCAAGTCACCACGGAGGCGTCGGCCAGGATGGCAGCACAAGCACGCTCAGTTGCTTGAATCTGCTGGACCTGCACCAACTGCTCTCGCACCTGGCTGCTGTCACCACCATCCAAAGGATGGCCCCAAGTCACCACAGAGCCGTCGGCCAGGATGGCAGCAAAAGCATACCGATTTGCTTGGATATGCTGGACCTGCACCAACTGCTCTTGCACCTGGCTGTGTCTGTAACCACCACGGCCAGGATGGCCCCAAGTCACCACAGAGCCGTCTGCCAGGATGGCAGCAAAAGCGCTCTCACTTGCTTGAATCTGCCAGACCTGCACCAACTGCTCTCGTACTTGGCTGCTGTCACCACCACAGCCAGGATCGCCCCAAGTCACCACAGAGCCTCCTTCGACATACAGAGCGAATGCTCGCCGAGTGGAAGATAGCTTCACGTGCTGCGCTATTGCAGTTACACTGTCCCCATCTCGCAGACCCACCTCAGCAAGAGTGCGCGATGGGTCCAGCTTCTCACTTCCAAAAAGGAGCCTCAGAAAGCTGCGCTCGAGCTGCTGTTGCGCCTCAACCTTCAGTTCACGAACGCTCGACTCCGGAGGCAGCGCAACACAGCAGCTGCTTCCACTCGCCAAGTACACATGCAATTGCATGGCGCCGAATTTGCAGTTCGAACAGGCAGGCAACTTTACGGGAGACGTGATCGGAGAAGCTGGTGGAGAATGTGATTCGCCCGTGAATCCCGAATCCCGAATCCCAAATCCCGAATCCCGAATCCCGAATCCCGAATACCAACCCTAAACCAACCCTAAACCAGCCCTAAACCAACCCTAAACCAACCCTAAACCAGCCCTAAACCAACCCTAGACCAACCCTAAACACCCTAAACTAACCCTAAACCAACCTCAAACCAACACTGAACCAGCCCTAGACCAACCCTAAACCAACCCCAAACCAAACCCAAACCAACACTGAACCAGCCCTAATCCAACCCTAAACCAGCCCCAAACCAACCCTGAGCCAGCCCTAAATCAGCCAAACCTAAACCAACCCAAACCCACCACAAACCAGCCCTGAGCCAACCCCAAACAAACCCTAAACCAACCCAAACCAGCCCTAAACCAACCCTAAACCAGCCCCAAACCAACCACAAACCAACCTTAAAACCCTGAACCAACCCTAAACCAACCATAAACCAACCCGAATCCCAACTCCCGAATCCCGTATCCGAGGATGGGCCTTCGTCCCGAATCCTGACTCCAATCCCGAAATGTGATTAAATCCCGAATCCCGAAACTGCGCACGACCTCCGGATCACCACTGGACCGACTGAGCCACTAAGCAACCGAAACCATCACGTACAAACTGAAGGTACAGCCGGACATTCTCTCCAGATTCCTGGTTTACCCCTGGTTGCCCATACCCGCGACACACCAGCTTTGTTCAGGGTATGATGTCAACCCTGCAATTTCTACAAAGAAGGTATTCGCCCTAGAAACCCGGGTTTCTCAAAAAAGTCACAAAAGCAGGGGTTGCGTACACATGTTTACACACCAAAACTCCCGAAATCCATTTCGATCCTGGCTTGCTTGTTACCAAGTCCCCCTGTGCGTGGGTTATAAAACCAGGGCTCCTCCAAGGAATCCAAAACCCTGCCTGCGTTAGCATTCGGATTTGTGGTTTCCTTCTTTTCCTGGACTCTCTGTGCTTTGTTTTACTGGCAGCTGGTGTGTGTTTAAAAGCCCTCGAGGTGCAATAGGTGCGTCTGGGCTCCCGAGTGGATGTGAATCGTAATGAGCCCGTCAGTGGATCTAACCGCAAGGTGATATCCCCAATAGCACCACACCCATATGGGTTCTAATGCGGAAGGTGCAAGGGTTCGGTCCTCCGTTTCCGGAACCTTGCTTGAACCTTTCACCTGGACCCAGGCCTTCCTTGAACCTTCCTTGGACCCTACTGGCCTGCAGGGCCTGCACCAAACCAATCTCTTCCCCCTATTAATAAATACGCCCCCCCCCCCTATTATAAATAAATCCTCCCAAAAATGGATTTTTTTTTTAATTGGGGTTTTCGGGGTTGGGTTTTTTTGCTTTTCCAAAAATGTGAGGGTTCGCGTAGGATTTGGAGGAAATGGATTGAATTGTAAGGTCCGCGAGTAAGCGGTTTAATAAGGAAATTTCATGTGTCATTCTATTTGTTTTTCAGTTTACTGGTTGTTTGTTGGCAGCCAGGCAGGTTAGCCAGCATGTATGGGGGAGAGACAGTCGCAGCTTAAAAGTGGGGCTGGAAGCTTGTTAAAAGTGCCCCCTAATAAGGATTCCAAGACTTTAGTATTGGTTTAGTATTGGCGCAATTAAAAATCTATTGTGCGGAGTGGAAATCTGGTCTCGGGCCCCGGATTTGCATTTATTATTAATGGGGGTCATTCATTAATTGGGGGAGGAGATCACTCCGGAACCTCCGGTGAACCTTACATCTGGCCTGCACCCGGCCATCCCAACCTCCGAACCTTCCTTGAATTTCACCTGGACCAGCCCAGAACCTCCTATCATCAGAACCTGAAGCCACCCCCAAACCTAATCTGGGCTGAGACCCCGGAGCTTCCAGCTGTTGGGGAAAAACAGGTCTTCGGAGCAGGGTAGGGTAAACAAGCGTGTTACACACTAAAGCGAAGGGGTGTTGACAGGGATCTAGTCTTGCAGCTCCAATGCTTACAAAACACTGCAAATACCCTGCGTTTGTTGCATGCGCAGACGCTGGCAAGTAGGCGAGATGCACATTCTCACCTCTGAGAGTCTTCAGCCACCTGCATCTAAATTTGCGCGTGGAAATATCGGAAGAAAAAACAACGAGAAAACCGAACAAACTAAACAGCCCAAAAAAACAATATTCAGTGAGTGTTCCCACGTTGTCTGCATGTGAGAAAAAACCTCGGTGAGACCCCCGACCCGTGTGGGTTCTGCAAATGCAGCCGGACCGTCCTGTGGTGCCCGGAAAACTTGCGGAAGCCTCGCAGAACTTGTGGAACCCGCCCCGGACCACCCCACAACTCTGCCCTTGAGGAACCCTTGCGGAATTCTCGCAGAACCTCGGAACCGCCGCGTGCATTTTCTCAACCTTGCGGGACCCTCGCAAAACCTCGCAGAACCTTACCTCAGAGCCGCCCTGGACCACCCCGACCAAATAAGGGCTGAGACGCCATCGCTTTCAGCTGTTGGGGAAAACAAGGCTTTAAGATAGCATCGTTGATAGTTGTATCGCGTCTCACGGTTTTTGACACATTCTTGCCCATGTGCCAGCGCAACATGCTACAGGACAAGCTTTACAAGCTGGAAGCCCACCCGAAAGCATGTCAAAGAAGGACAAATATGCCAGATTGCCAGACTTATCAGTCCTTGAACATTACCTGGCATACCACGCCGACCTCGAGCCTTCCTTGAACCTTACGGAGGTTCGGAGGTTCCATCCCAGAAGAGTCTCTGTGACGAGGGGAGCACGCAAACGACCCGCTTGCTTCATAGAGAAACTCAATGTATAGACAAATGGCATCTTTGCAAGACGATATACCAACTCAGCTGCACTCTAATGTGTCTCGTTACATGCATCGCTTCTTCTTTTTTAAGTATCAGCTTCGAGAAGGATTTCTGATTTCTGCGTGCAAGGTTCAAGCAAGGCGGGTGGTCCAG